GTTGGATATTGCTGCCCTAGGCTTTATTAAACACCCATTGTTTGCCATCCTAGTCTATCTAGAAATATGTTTAGACATACATGGGCATGCATGATTAAATATGTTCTGTAGCCCCCAGGGAAAGCACATATAATGTCACAAGAGTATCACTTAAAAAACAAATCCTTGTGTCATATTTTACCTTCAATTGGCACAAATTCTTTAGCAAACATTGTTTCCCACTACAATGTCTATCTGTTTAGACATAGTTATGGCAGTGGGGGGAGGGACTCAGACAGTCATCCATGTTGCAATGGTGACATGATCCTCTACCTTTAGTACTGAGTAGAACACGGGACATATGTTAGTGGAATGTTCTTTATGTTGAGGATAGAAAACATAGATGTGCAGTGTTTATAGGAAACGTTATAATGTTTGGATCAATGTTTTTGTTTAAACTGATGTTTAATACCTGCTTTATTTACTATCTATATACAGTTTTTGTTTTTTTTTTAAAATAAACTTTTAGTGTATGACAAAGGTTTAGCTAAAGAGAGAGCACAGCAGACATTCCGTATGGGAGCACCAGCTGTTAAAAAGAGATTTCAGACTAAACTGTCTAATAAGTGATGCGTCACTGCAATAGGCCACTGCTTTGCCTCATTGATTTCTGTAAACAAGGGACTTCTTTCATCAAAGAAGCAAACAGAGAGTGTGTAAATAAACATGAAAAGAAGACTAAAGCTCCACCTTCTGGCTCAAATGGGGAATGCAAAAAATGCAATATTTCATAATTACCAAAAATAAGGATAATATTTTAAAAGTGTATTTGTTAGCCTTGAACATAATAAATTAAGGACGAAATTAAAGGAGAACTATGGGGTCAGTGTTTTTCCCCATAGTTCTCCTTGGGGTAACGGGAGGACACAAACTAGCGTCCTCCCGTTACCCTAAGCTCAGTATACCGCGAGCTACAGCTCGCGGTATACTGAGACGCCGCACCTGGAGCGGATCCTGACTTAGATGGCGGGATCCGCCCAGCTGCGTGAGTGACAGCTGGCTCTGCCTATCTAGAGGCAGAGCCAGCTGTACCCTCCCCCGTCCGTTCCGCCAGTCAGCGCTGGCAGATCGGAGCGGGGAGAGGGGAATCCAGCCCCTCCCCCTGTCACGGCAGAGAGCCGTGACAGGATCGAGAGGTGAGGGAACCCGGTATGTGTTCCCTCACCTCCCGATCTACTGAGCCGACCTGTGACAGTCTCATTGTCACAGGTCGGCTTAGAACTATGAGGTGAGTGGAAATCACTCATGTCATAGTTCTCCTTTAAGTATAAAACCACTATGTATACACTTTAAAGTGGCTACAGTTCAGCTTTATAATGTACTGTATGTCCAGGTTAATATGATAATGCCAGCAAAAGAAGTAGAAAGCAATTTCCTTTTTAAAACTAATGTGCTTTTTTTTCTTCCCATAAATATGTAAGAAGTACCTGTTGATCCTACAACAACTTGTCCGCTTCCTCTCTCGAGGTGAAACAACGTTTGCTGGCAGCTGAATGCTGAATTTCAGAGAGCGTTGTTACCCTAAGTAAACATCCTGAAGGAATTGGCTTGTCCTGCCCCCGCCCAATACCTAGTCAAACCCTCACCTCCCTCGTAAATGACATCACCTCCTTGCTTCCCCATAGCCTACAGCAGTAAAAATGTGACTTGAGCTGATGGGAGGTGTAGTCCTTAAGAGTCCTCTGACACCAGCAGAAATGCCACTTTACATCTCTGCTCACATCCCTCCCCAATGACACCAGAAAGAGGATCGTAATAGTATAGTGATCGCTACTAAAACTATTGAAAACATATTTGAGCTCTTTTGTATGTTTTACACTGATTTGTGTTACTGGGGCTCTTTTTATACCAACAATTATAACTGCTTTAACACTGTTAATACTGGTATTCTTTCTCAAACATCATATACTGAGTTCAATGCATGAAGCCATTTCCCAGTAACCTTAATGTTTCATATATCCTTGCTTCACATTACACTGATTAGAATTAGTGCATGTAATGTAATTGAGGGTGAGTCACTTTAATTACATGCTAGAGGGTGTTAGTAAATGAGTGCATTAGCTGCTCCAGATGTGAGGGTTTTAACCAGCATTTTCATTTTCTTTCTCATTCTTCCACCTATTAATTACAACATTACATTTGGGGGGTTTCCAACATGGTATTTAAGAATTCACATGACATCTGATACCAAACAAAGATGCCCTTAGTCTTCTAAAGGTAAAATTAATGACTTTTAAAACCAATATTTCCATTTCCTTCTGTATAATTAAACTTCCTCATCGTAACTGTAGCGTACTTCTATTTTTAAGGTCCCGAGGGTGGGTTTTTGCTCTTTCAAAACTGCTTCTCTCCCTATACAAGTCTATAGGAATGCAAAAGTAGGTAAAAAGGAGATCAACTGCTGGTCAAATACACCTGACAATGAATTCTGAATGATCTAAACTAATTCTCAAACTGATGTCAAGAGAATGCGAATGAACACAGCCCAAAGCCCGTCAACACAGGCCCTTATAAACATCATTCTCCAAGTAACCTTTTACTGTGGCAATCTGTCATCAAGAAAAAGCACTTGGACTGGCAGCAGTTCACCAGATGGGTTACGTGGCATGTTTCCCCAAATCTGTCACTGCCTGGGCTGTTATTTTGCGTAAAGGGTTGTGCTGGCAGAACCATGATCCCAGGCCAATTGCTTAAGTCTGTCCTGTAGACTTAACATGAAGTGAGAGGATATCTTTTCAATGTGAGGGATATCCCCCATTTAGACTGTCATGGCAACAAGTACCCCCTTTGGAAGATTTCCCCTCTAGTTTTGTTCTGGTGGCAACTGAAAATATTGGATTTACCCTCACTTTTATTCCTGGTGACATTGATGACAGACATCCCAACTCTCCCGGACGCTCCGGGAGTCTCCCTCTATTAGATAGCGCCGCCCGGGAGAGAAACATTTTCTCCAGGAAAGGTTTACTCTGCTCGATCTAGCAGAGAAAACTTTTCCCTGCGATCTGTTTTTTTTTCTGACATTGGGGCTGCCGGCCGCCGTGAGTCAGAGAAAAAAAAAAAACCAGCATAGGAATGCATAGCTAGATTGCTATTAGCTATTTCACTTTGCAACAGCCAATAGCAGACTAGCTATTGCACCCGCCCAATGCTGCTGTCAATCAGTAGAGGGGGACCTGAAGTTCTCCATCAGGACCTCTTCTAGTGATAGACAGCAGCAGAGGGCGGGTGCTATAGCCAGCTTGCTATTGGATATTGCAAATTGAAATAGTCAATAGCAATCTAGCTATTCATTGCTGTGCTGTTTTTTTTTTTTTATTATTCTGACGGCAGCAAAAAAAAACAAAAAACAGCAAATAGCAAAGAAGCCATTGCTTCCCGTACTATCTGCCATAATTTCTGGGGGGCTCTCCCCCACCCCCCCCCGCGGATGGGGGGGGGGGGCACCTCCCTGAAATGAGAAGGGCACCTCCCTGAAAATGCTTTTTTCAGGTTGAGATCCCTGCGATGATCAGGAAAAAGATGTTGAATCTCCCATGTCTAGAAAAGTTATGCCTTTAGTTACACTTTATAAATGTGGTGGAAGATTATATTAGAAGACTTGCTGCATTTGGCTGAATATGTAAGTAGCTAGGGTGTGTACAGTAAGTGCACAGATTCTTCACAGAGTAAACATAATTATAACTTTTTTCTTCCTCTTTGATTTTGCTTTACATGTAGCAGAATAATAACTTCCTGTTATGAAAGCAATATGGGAGCTGCCAATGCTGACCTCCTTCTTAAAATGCTATCTGCCTGTTGTCAATAAGTTCTGGGTCACTGATCTGGAATAGGAATGAAGCATGTGATGTCAGAATTGCTGATCAGCCATTGGATCAGCATGACATTCAGGCAGTCAGCATTTTCAGGAGAAGATCAGAATGGCCCTCATGATATCAGGAGTTAAGGGAAAAGGATGACGTCAGTTATAGCTTTCCCCACAAGGTGGCAGTAACAACCTGTGCTGCGTTTAGGTTCAAAGCAAAGCACAGCCGTTACGTAGTCCAGTGGCTAATAATGGATGTGACTGAAATCAGGACCCTTTATTTCACATTCCAGGTGAACAATTTGCTGACCCGAAGGAATATAAAACCACCATAACATATATGTCCTACAAGACAAATCAATATCACTTATGTGATATTGTGAATGTAAATGTAGAAATATCAAATGGACAGTTTACCAGTCTCATCTATCTGCAGTGTGAAATAATTGCTGCACATCGGAAGCTATTATTGTCATTAGCATATAATTTAAGGACAACATAAATGATAAAGCCCAGGGCCACACACATGAAAGAAGCTGTGCCATAGAAACCATTCACACTCTTCCCTAATTTTCAAACCTTTGCTTATAAAAATGTCAGGTGAATTATGGGTAACACAGCCCTTCTTTTAAATTAATTTATATGTGAGGCACAGTAGGTGGTCCCCCCCTTTGGGCCTCATATAGTCCTAATGTTTTTCAGACTTCCAGGTAGCAGCAGAAGGGTATAAAACAGTAACAGCTTAAAAGAATAGTTCTCTCTCTTATGCTTTGCATGAAAAGAAGCAGAGAAAACATGTACTATAAACTATACACAAAACCCTGAACTTGGGTTTTGGAAAAACATACAGTATATAACCTATAAACTTTTTGAATAAAAAATGTATAATAAAATAAATTCCCTGCAGCCTTAGCTGTTCTACTCAGCCTGCAAACAATGACCTTCCACTAAGGCATTCAGATATGTACTGCCAGCACAGAGACTGTGTATAAGCCAACTAAGTATTTTTAATCACTTACTTCTATTTTTTCCTGCTAAACAACCACTTTCTAGAAAATATCAAGGGTAGCAGGATATCATTCATACAATCTGACCATCTGTAGACCTGGTAACCCATTCATGTTAATAAGGTAAAAGTGGCACTTCTTATGCTACTTACCTTGGCTTCAGGATCGCTGTTGATGCTAGAGGAATCCTCTTCATCAGAATGAGGGACATTTCTGTGGAGAAGAATTTATGTTTATATATTCAGAACTTATTCACCATAAAACGTCTAATAATATGCAATTATATGAAATAATATCTAATTGTATGCAGTCATTTGGTCCTAGATGTTGATGCCAATATGACATGCACAGACACACACACTGACATACAATTGGCCTAGTTCCCCTACACAGGTGCCGTATAATGATCTGAAATAATGAGATTATAGGGTTTCCTTCATATGAGGTTTGGGATAACTGCTTAAGCAATGTGTAGAAATAACCAAAGGTACAGCATGTGGGATAGAAAAACTAACCCTATGACCTTGTGTGGCCCAGCTCTGATCTTGATGGATTCACAGTTAAGGTGAACTTGTGCCCATACTATGCACACTGAAGTATTTACAAATTCTTAACGGGCAGAAGAAGCACTTCAAACATGCCCTCATTCACCTCTGTAGCTACAGGTATTGTGGAGAAACTCAGCTTTAAAATGTCTAACTAAAATGGTAGCTATTTTCCTGTCACTTACAATGACTGTAGAATAGCGGCAACCTGCCAGCCCTCTAATGCAAACACACATTTCTGTTAAAATACTAAAACCAGACTTTAGAATCTTTGTTGTGATCTTTAAGGATATTTCAGAATAAAATACTTTGTGGTACATGCAGTTAGATCAGGAATGACTTGTCTAAGCTTTTACTGCTTGTTAAGAATATGTAAATACTTTACTGTCCATTGTAGGGCACTTTAAGCTCCATCAACATCCATCACCAATGAAAAGCACTGAGGCATTGGACAGAAGAAGGCCATGAAGTCAGGGTCTCAGGTAAAACTAACATCAAGAGTGTTGAGCTGCGTTGATCGGCAGTGATCATCCCAGGGTCAACGTAAAGACGGAAAGAAAACAATTGTTCTCGGTGTTCTTTGTATTTTGTGATATTTCAATAAAAAAAGGGAAATTAAAAAGTAAACATTGCCCACCAACAAGTACGTTTTATGGAGCATAACACATGCCTGCTGGTGTGAAGGAGCCCTTAAATTGTCCATCAATTAAAACATTTTTATGTCTAATCTTTTTATTAAAAGAATTTTCATAAGTACAGAGACTGCGTGAGCACAGTGTATAGCATACATTAGATTTAAATTACATGGAGGTATGAGTAATATTTGTGATTTGATAGAGCTCCTACACACTGAATAATTGCAACAATACAGACATGATGAGAAGATACAACAAAACATTTTGTAGTTTTGCATAGAGTGGGGAAGGGTTGGAATCTTATATCTAGCTCTAAAAACCAGACAGCATTTGTAATCCTTCCTTACTCTACCAAAACCACAAAAAACTTTCTGGTTTGACATGCACTTTCAGGCCAGGTTTACACCTGGGCGATCCTGAGAAGTGTGTCCCGGGACTGCACATTGGTGTGCAATAGCAGACAGCGGTTGCCGCGCGGTCCCATTTATTTTAATGGGGTTAAATAATCATGGCAATCGCTGAAAAAAAGGTACATGTATCTTTTTTCGCTGACATGCTATTTTTAAGCCACGATCGTGCACAATTGCATGGGCGGAATTGCGGTGGGAAACCGCATGTTCTGCCTGGCGCAACTGGGGTGCCATTAGAAAAGAATGGCACCGCCAGCGCGATCAGCAGTTGTGTATGATTCCGTGACCATGCGGCGATCAGCGTGGCTTTGTGCATATCTGCCGCACGGTCATGGATCGCCCAAGTGTGAACCGGGCCTAAGAGTTTCAAACGGAGTATATTATTCACAATAGGGTAGTATTCAACCATATCACCCCACAGCATCAAAACATTCTTAACTTGTATTACTAATTGTGTGGATTCCAATAAGCTGAAAACAAACCCAGCATAGTAAGGCCTTGTTCACACCAAGCGCGGAGCAGATCCGGACCAGAGCAGGTGCAGACCGGATCAAAACTGCGTCCAATGTATTCCTATGGTATTTTGACCTCCAGTTCACATCGCAGCGTGCGGATCCAGACCGGATGAAAAAACTGCGGCAAGCCCTATTTTACCTGCTCTGGATCTGGTCTGGAACGCATAAAAACGCATCTAAAACGCAAAAACGCATCAAAAACGCATGAAAGTGCCTGAAAGCCCATGTTAAACTTAACCAAAACTGGCCCTAAACGCATCAATAACGCATCCAAAACGCGTCTAAAACGCGGCACAACCCACTGCACTGCGTGTGCAGAAACCTGAACGGATCTGGTCTGCATTTGGTGTGAACAAGGCCTAAAAGACTAATACTTCAGAATGACACATATCCTGTTCCTAGGAATACTAATGATGCTTCATCCTGACTGAGTTGTGCATGTACTCAATACATAACAATAAAAATGGTATGAAGAGGTGCTGTGACGAGGCAGGGGGAGGATGTGCATATATAGATTATGGCTCTTTGTTGCAGGAAACTGTGTGTAATGGAATGAATTATAGACAGCTATAAATACAAATGTCTACTTAATCCACTTTACACATGTCTGTACATATCTGTGCACAGATAACCGAATGAGTATCATTAAAAAGAATACAGTATGTCATAATGATTCTGTTCATTTGCCTTACATTTATATGAGCTGCCTCTAAGCCATTAATAATATTTATTTTCATGCCTATTCCTTTCAGTGGTTGTCAGTTATCATATTCTGACAATTAGCTCTAACCTGCATTCATGTTGCTCTAGTCATTTGTTCCTTGTTATCAGTAATGAGGAAAGGGGTGACAGTGAGCAGTGATAACTTCATTTGGTAAAAGTGCTTCGTATAGCTTCTAGAGATGTTTAGAAATCTTTATGTCTTAATAATCACAAGGAAAAGAGAAAATGCTTTCGATTTGTGTGCTCCCAAGCTAAGTTGGATAAAAAGTCACAGTGAGTTAGGATAGTAATACAAAAAGGTGAATCTCTCATCTTCTCTCCTAATCGATGAATACCCGCCTGTCTTAAGCTGGCCGCACACTGGTACATTTTCATACAAATGTTCATAGGAATAATCTTGTCAGAACATAATAATGCCATAAGAGACTTGTAGAATGTTGTTCCAAATTTAAATTTTTACATTAAATTTTGGAAAATAAATGGAGTTTCTTGAACATTCACGGTCAGAATTTTGTTAGTTCAAAAATTGTTTAACCTGCTCCTTTGATTTTTTTTCCAGCACTACATAGAATGTCGATTTGACCCTATTAGAACAATTAGAAAATTGAATGAAAGTTCCCAAAAGCAAATATTTCAAATTAAATTCTACCGGTGTATTTACATTGACCTACAGGAACCAACAGAACATTAGCTATCATCAGTCAAGTGTAGGTCAACTGGTACTAGCAGTGAGAAGTTTTGGGTGGGGGGAGTTGTGGTCATCTAGCATATATTTTGCAAAAGCCTCATTTAGAATGCAATATGCTAATGATATGGCTGCTGAACCCACATGCATAAGTGAAGCAAGTACATGTTACTAATATACCTGAAGTAGGTAGTAGTATCATTAGATTCAATATTAAGAGGCACTTGCCGACCAGATGTAGCAGCCTTTGGAGGGATGGAGAAAATCCCACTCCAGACCCAGACAAAAGAATAAGTGCAACCTTTTTGCCCCGTTTGCCTGAGTGACCCATGTAGCATATTATAGGAAAATACGAGTCTTGTGTGGGATGCCTCCCTCCCCCTGGCTGCTATGTCTGGCCAGCAAGTGTCTTTAATAATGAGATAAATTTAGTATTGATACTATATCCTTCTTTAGGTATATTAGCTGCATGGACCTGCTATACTTACACATGTGTGATCAGCAGGAAATACCATTAGCACAATGCATACAACAAGAGCTGCTGGCACGATAGCTAGAGTAAAAACTCTGTGGTGTCACTTTCCCTTGGTGCCCTAAACACATGCTTGTTTTACTTAATGTTTAATCCAGCTCTGCTCTGAAATAATAAAACTCCACCAAAGATGGATATTTTGGCTTTAGTTAAGTGGAATGGTAAAGTTTGATCCCCCATTCTATTTACTTTTGTCAGGATGCTATCAGGAGATCTTCCTTTCCACCAACAAGACTGTGACTGTAAAACACTATACCTGGAGTAGGCAACCTCGGCACTCCACCTGCTGTGGAACTATGCCCATGAGGCATTGCAAGCCTCTGATAGCCACAGTCATGAATCCCAGGGGCAAAGACATGAAGGAATTTGTCGTTTTGCCAATGTTGGCATGCTGAGGTTGCATGTACAATGCTCTAATCTATAGAAGAGTATATGGATTATTAATTTAAACTGAGCTCAACTTGTAGGGATCATGCTACAAGTGGGGAGGGATGTTCCTGTTGGGACGCAGAGAGCAGCAAAAACACAGGAGGGTAAGGGTAAGCAAACTTTGGCCCCCAGCTGTGGTGAAACTACAAATCCAATCATGCATCTACCCTTGTGCATCATGCCTGTAGCTTCCAGAGTCTTGCAATGCCTAATGGCATATGTAGTTGCACCACAGGCGGAGGGCCAGAGTTTGCCTACACCTGCAAAAAAAACAAAACCCATTTTGGATGGAAATTCTATAAATATGACAACAAACACTTGCAAAGCAATTTACTGCATTATTTACTAGAAACCATCACCCCAATAAATCACATACTAAATATCTATAGTAACATTCCATGTCCTTGCCTTAGCTTTAAAGAGGCGTAGCGTAATGTGGCTCCTTCAAACTCCTTCAGACTTGGATCTGGGTTCACTGTGGCTGCGTGCAGATCCTACAGATAAACAGATCTCATGTTATAACACAGCAGCAATCAGTCACACAGTACGACTGTGAAGAAAATAGGGAGGTAAAGACAGTGATACATATCTACCAGCAAAGGCTACTATGCAGTGAGACATCATGTGCAGAATGAAGACATGAAGTGTTTCATCAAAGCCACATTTGCTTCACATAAGATAAAGATCAACCTGTGCATGTTTCGTTCTGTCTGTGGCTAATTCATCATGCACTCACTGATAAATCCATGACTGTCCGAAAGAATAGCCCCTGTAGAGTAACACAGCGTGCAATGATGCTCATCTTATGTGATGTAAATCTGTCCATCTGAGGAGTGGACTTTACACTGTAGACATATAGCAATGCACTGTAAATATGGAACAGCATGGTTTCCCTTCAAGCAAGAGAGGCATAGAATATTTTGGTTAAACGAAAAGGGCATGCACATTATGTTGCTGTGCATAGGGTGTCGGTTTGGGCAAGCATCTCACAGAAATGGAGACGATAACTTCTAAAACAATGAAAAGTGAAGGTGTTGCCTGTGGCGTCCAATCAAATTTTATCAGATGTTTTCTGGCTTGCAAGTTTAGACCATAACTGAAAGGTCTGATTGGCTATTGCTTACAACACCTTCATTTTCTTTGCTTTAGTCAGCTACTTGAGCTTCAGGAAAAGAGTGTAGACTTGTGAGTGGGAGAGTCCCGAGCTTGCTTTGTTCTTCTGCTTCATGAATGGTAATTGTGAAAGTAACAGCCACTACCATGCAAACAAAACAAAAAAGAAAGAAAGGTTACATGTTGAAACGTCTTTAACCAAATACTTGCCTTCCAAATGTCAACATTTATCTTTCCCCCATTCAGAACAGCAAAATCACTCCATGGCTGTTTCTAGGCATACAATTATTCACAAGGAAGCAGCACATTGATGAAAAAATAAAAAAAGGAAATAAGGAAAAAGAAAAAAAAAAACAAGACAGCTTTGTTAGCACATTTTTACAGGGTGGTTTTAGGATAAATCGCTTCTTAATGGGCACTTATCATGACTCTTTCGCTGAAATATTTGGTTAGCATTCTAACAAAGCAGCATTCCAACATTAACAACTGCCATTTCATGCTCTGCAAACCTCTCTTTGCTCCCAGGGCTGCAGTTTTATTGCATGTCTACTGATGTATCAGAAACATAACTCAAAGCATCTCATTGCAGCCTTGGCTGGCTGGATCATTTCGTATGCAATTGTGGCATCCTCCAGAGGAACTGATCTGGACCATAGTAACTGGAGGTTTATGTGAGCTCCGGTAGGCTGATCTGCCCTATTCAGCCACCTTCTAATAGAAGACGAAATTCACAGTGATCTGTCGTCTTTCTGGACTTGGGCACCCCAGCAGCAGTGAAGTCAGTACATAACCATCCAAACATCTAATGTACTAAATGTGGTGGCTGCATTTGCTTTCTTTTTTAGGCTTTTCCTCCTTTATTTTATACTGGGGATCCTTCCAGCAACAAATTCCTATCCAATTTGACAATGCTCGCTCACTGTACTTTATCTGTGGAGCAGAGGTTTTGTCACCCAAGTCAGCTTACTTCTGATTTGGACTTTTGGACTTTAGATCACCTCAGCCTAGCCCTTTTATAAAATATAGGGAGGTTTCTTTTAGTTTGCAGATAGAACTGGGAACATCTAATAACACTGCTTGAGATATGAGTCCAGCAAAGGCAGAATGCATGAGAATTTAGGAGCCCACTGGAATTCTGGCAGGATCTACGGGTAATTTTTTGCAGTTATCAAACACATATAACAAACTGCTTTTAATTGTTTATTTAGCAGACCAAAAGGGAGAAAACAAGGAGAAGTTTAATTTTAGAGTTTGCATACCATTTAATGACAGGGCTGCTTTTTACTTCCAGCCCAGCCCTGACTCACACATGAATTAGCTTTATTAGACACAAAGGGGTTGATTTACTAACCTTATAAACACACCACGAACATGTATACACCTCTGTAGTGTGTTCCCTCCCAGCATGATCTATGGGTGGAATCTAAACACCTTTGTAGTGTGTACACACCCAGCAGGTGTGTTGTGCAAAGCCCTGCATGAATTGCAAGGTGATGTTGTGTAAATTAGCTCTATGTTGTGTTGCTTGCGTTGATGAATGCAGGAATGTAAATGCATGAGCTAACCATTTTTGTCTAAACTGTGAAGCAGCATTATATATGCATCATGTGCATGATTTTTCCATATATGGCATTAGTGGAAATATGCTTTTAGAGACTTTTTGGTTGATAAATACGTTTTGCAGTGTACAAATCACACACACCTAGTGCGTGCGTGTGTTTAGGTTAGTAAATCACCCCCAAAGTGTCTGCTGCATGAACAATTGGTATGTCTGCTCACATCACTGAGCATTATTGCCTTAGTTATAAACACATTATTCTATTTAAACACATTACATTGGTCTCCCAAACACCAAATACAGGTGCTCTATGGCTGCGCTAATTTCCAGCAGTCACATTCTTTTCTTGACTACCCTGCCAATCAAATTCTGCTTCCTTCCTTCCATGTATTAATTAAGCACAGGCCAGACACACTGTGCTTAACCAAAGCATGTTCTTGTAAATTAGCTTTACTTATACTGTGACTGGAAGCTAAACATTCTTGATAAAGCATTACATTGTAACATACGGAGAGGTATGTACTGCATTAATCCATGCTCCCCCAATAATATAAATCACCCTTATATTATGCACCATCACCTCACTAGTGTAGACTTTCCAAGGTAAAGCCTCGCACGCTATAGTGCAGATCCTGTAGTTCCATGCTTTTCTTCATTATACACCAAGGACAGCCAAGGACAGCATGGCATAAGATCCGGGAGGGGAAGGGCCATGTAAAGCAGAGAACTTGGCTTAGGCACTCCCCCCCCAGATTCCATCAAAATGCACTGACTAGTAAAGACCTTTGTTCTAGAACCACATTGAAGTAATAAACTTCATTTTCTACTACATAGTGGAAAAATGTACCAATGTTATGAGAAGGATTAGTAGGCTGTGCAGCACAATTTTGCCAACACAGATGTGATGGGATTTTTCCTGGGTTCTTTTGAGGCTTCAGAACACCCATGTAAGAATGAATTATGAACGCAAGCAAACTGGAAGAATAATGTCAAGTTTTTCTGCATGTTATTATATTGTATAATGGAGTCTATATTCCACTTGGAGACTCTGAGATAGGAAAGAAGCCCATTTTCTGCTAGAACAGTGCTTTTTAATCCCCCTCAGCACACTGTATTAGACATTTTGATCATAGTAGTTTAGATGTTCCTCATATAGTTCAGGTATAATACATTGTAATGAGCACTGAACAAGATGCAAGAACTCTCGCATACCATTAAGGGCTTGTGTAGACAGGCTTTGGAATTGTGTCCAGGCACCTTGATTCTAACATAGGCTTGAAATCATTCTGATATTATTGACAGGTGAATTTAAGCTGCAGTTGACCTCCATCTAACCTGCATTTAACCTGCTTTATGGCCCATGTCGACGGACTTCTGTTTGCTCAAAATGGGTTTTGCATTTCAGTACAAGTCGATGGGTATGCAAAACCCACTTAAAGCAGGTCAGAAGGAGCTCAGCTGCAACTGTCTATGACTTCGGAATGAGTTTAGAACCATCTCAAACTGATGTCAAACTGCCAATGACAGAATCCAAAGCCAGTCAACACAGACGATTAAACTGGGTTTGCATTTTCATAGATCTGTTTTGAGAGAGAGAAGCAGTTCTGAAATGAACAAAAGCCCATTGACAATGACCCTAAAAAAAAGAAAATCTAGGGCGTCTTCAAATACACTTGCCCATTACTAGTGAGGGGTCATCATCCATTCCATACACAGCAGCAGAATATCATGGCACCCTATGCAGATCAGAAAGAATTACATCTAAATGTTGGAACTTAACACAAAGACTCTAAAGAGTGATCAATGAGGACAGTATCTCCTTTACCATATTAATCAGTGTACAATGCAGTCATTCTACCCAATGCTGCAGGTTCCTCCTCAGTGCTGATCACTCTAAAAACTGATCTAGCTTGTTAATCTCCAGGAAATGTTCTTACCTCATTTAAATATTTATTTTTTACCATTCCCCCTTTTCAATTTAGCTCATGCATGACAGCGGGTAACTTCAACCCACTTTCATTTTAAATATTCAATCTGATGCTTCACAGCAAATCAAATATTTATGACTCCAAAATTTGCATGTCTATTTCATACACGAATAATGTATCGGTGGCTGCGTTTAAATATTCACACTCAGGAGGGTATAATGTTTATTTCATGTCCAATCGCTTTCCTGGCTCTCTGCAGACAACTTTGAATGTCTGAAGGAAAAGCTTGTACTAGGATTTAAAAGAAGATAGACACGCATAGAAAGCCTTATCTAGAGACAGTACAAGTAAATATTTTATGAAAAGTGTTTGTACACTGGAGATCTCAAGCATCCCTGTAGGGTCCCCGTCATATGCCATCAGGCCATATAAGTGTGAAATTAAAGCAGAATTGCTCTTCATCTAAAAATCATAACAAGAGTACAGAAAATCCACAAGGTTATCTGGGTGCAAATGGTTTAGACCATGAATTTACAACTACGTTTCTTTAACAATTCTCCTAGTGGGGAAATCCTGGGAGGTGGAAATCATTACTGAAGCACAACTCTTTTTTAATGCAAACACTCTGAAATTGCAAGTTAAAAATAGTGCTTGCATGCACAACTGCAAATCTGTGTCACATTTTCTTTATCCATATTTTATAATATCCATATGCCATCTTGCAGTCTGTTCCATTATCTCTCCCTAGTAGGAATGAGCTCAGGTTCAAACTCATCCAAACTCAAAAGCAACATGGGCCTCCCGTGCAATCAGCCATGGGTCAGGGAATTCCCTGCCCTGCAGCTGACCATAAACACAGGGGTGGGATGCTTGTGCTGATGTAATTTACCTGATATGGTTATATAACCATATCAGGTAAATGTAATTTAACAAGTATAACCAAGTAACCATATAAGGTCAATGACGTCACTGCACCCTGCCCTTTTGCTTACGTCAAGCTGTGGGCGGGGAATTTCCTGCTTGCAGCTGGTTGGGTGGCATGGAAGGAACTGCCTTCTGTTTTAGGGAGGAGCTGTTTCTGGGTTCGGAGGAGCCCATGTTCAGACCAGGTTAAGCCCGAATCTGAGCTCATTCCTACTCCTCAGCATTAGCGCTAGGTAATTAAGGCAGTGCTACCATCAGAGGGAAGTGTTAAAAAATTCCCACACAGGAAGTTCCCTGAAGGAACATTTGTGTATTAGGAAACAGTTGTGTAATAGGATGGTTCTATCTTCAACCTAATTATCTTCCTTTCCTCCAGTTGTGCCCGCCCCCTCCCATGTCCGTCCCGCCAGTCAGCGCTGGAGGATCAGAGCGGGGAGGGGGTGAATCCCTGCAGGGAGCCGTGAGTGACAGCCACGGCTCTCTGCAGGGATAGATCGAGAAGTGAGCGAGCGACGTTGGTGTGCTCACTTCCCGATCTACTGAGCCGACCTGTGAGTTTCATTGTCACAGGTCGGCTCAGATTATGAGGCTGAGTGAAAATCATTCGCCTCATAATTCCCCTTCCTGCCAGTGAGGTCTCAGGACTAGAATGCAGGATATATTGGACTACTGCCTGCCAGTGAGGTCTCAGGACTGGAAGGCAGAATATATGGGACCACTGGCTGCCAGTGAGGTCTCAGGACTAGAATGCAGGATATATTGGTCTACTGCCTGCCAGTGAGGTCTCAGGACTAGAATGCAGGATACATTGGTCTACTGCCTGCCAGTGAGGTCTCAGGACTAGAATGCAGGATATATTGGACTACTGCCTGCCAGTGAGGTCTCAGGACTAGAATGCAGAATATATTGGTCTACTGCCTGCCAGTGAGGTCTCAGGACTAGAATGCAGGATATATTGGTCTACTGCCTGCCAGTGAGGTCTCAGGACTAGAATGCAGGATATATTGGACTACTGCCTGCCAGTGAGGTTTTAGGACTGGAATCCAGAATATATGGGACCACTGACTGCTGGTGAGGTCTCAGGGCTAGAATGCAGGATATATTGGTCTACTGCCTGCCAGTGAGGTCTCACGACTGGAATGCAGGATATATGGAACCACTGCAAACCAGAACACAGGGTACAAACAGAAGGGGGTCAAAACATGAACTAGATAGCGACTAGGCTGAGGCTAGCTGACAGAGTGTTGAGGCCCCTGACTGAAGAAGAAGAGGGATTATAAAGCCTCTCCAGTGCAGGTGGTGGTCAACAAGGCCAGTAAGACCTGCAGAGAGATGCTTATGAATAGGTAAAGAGAGAAGATCTACCCAGGTAAAATGTGCAACCAGCAGGATAAAAAGGCAAGCTGCAGACGTTTTACAGTTTCCACTTATGATAGGATTTATTTGGAATAATGGTTCTGGTAGGACCAATATACATAGAAATGAACTACTAGCTGGTATTCAAAAGTGACCCATGTTATACCTCTTGCCATTCTATCTAACAGTACCTGTACATAGACGATGTTGTAAGTTCCTTGTCACAGCTCCCTAGCAATCCCTAGCCATCAGCTGTAAAAACTGTGTAAAAATCTGCTCCATTCACTTTTACTCCAGCTTCCTTTATCTCTCTTTTTCCCGCTGGCTTTAATTATTTATTTTTCCTATTGGCTGTGGTCAGTTATAGCTCCAGCCAATTGGGAAATATAGGATGATTTAATGGTATAAAGAAATACAGTTCAAAAATCGAGTTTACCTGCAAAATCTGATTTCCAGTGCGAGTTTTCACAGCTGCTATCTAGGGATTGCAAGAGGGCTGTGAAAGGGAGTCTGTTGTAAGGGAGGATTACAACAGCCTCTATGCACTGGTAATGATAGCTGGCATGACAAAAAGAATGGCATTGTTTCACTTGAAGTCAACTCCCTGTATTCCTAGGAGCCCTTAGTTTTCCTGAGAGAGAAATCTGTAATGACTGATTGACTTGCAGTTGAAATATGACATTGGGATTGTATGTTTCCCTGTGGTTTCACAAAGACACATTTAAAATATATAAGAGAAATTAAATGATCTATTGTTTAATTTCATTAAGATTGTGAGATTATGATAAGGATGTTAGACTACGTTTTACATCAGCAAGGAGTCATATCAACGGGTCAACATTCCCTGCAAAGCACTGTAGAGCAAGATGTCATTATATGTAAGAACCATAACAATTACCAAGATGTACACAAACCTAACTACAAGTGCAACTCATCTTTACTCTAACATACATATTTAGAGACACTCTCTGCTTCCTATATAAAGACACTATGACCTATGTATACCGTACATAATGATACCTGGAAACTCTGACTGGATGTAAAAACTTGTAGCATTTATCATTTTGTCTGTGCTATTGGTCTGTGGGGTTTTGCAGTTTCTACTGATATTTATTAAACAAAAATAAAACCTGAGATATTTATAGTGACACTAAACTCAGGAGTTAAATCTTAAAATTGCATTCAAGTACCTTAAAGGAGAACTATGGGGTTAAGTCTTTTCCCCACAGTTCTCCTTAGGGTAACGGGAGGACACAAACTAGCGTCCTCCTGTCACCCTAGGCTCAGTATACCGCCAGCTGTAGCTCGCGGTATACTGAGACGCCGCAGTATACCGCCAGCTGCTGCTCGCGGTATACTGAGACGCCGCAGCTGAAGCGGATCCCGACAATTGTGCTGAGACCCGCCCAGCTGCGTGACTGACAGCTGGCTCTGCCTATCTAGAGGCAGAGCCCGCTGTACCCGCCCCCTCCCCTGTCCGTTCCGCCAGTCAGCGCTGGCGGATCGGAGCGGGGGAATCTAGCCCCTCCCCTGTCACGGCAGAGAGCCGTGACAGGATCGAGAGGTGAGCGAACGCCGGTATGTGTTCGCTCACCTCCCGATCTACTGAGCCGACCTGTGAAGCACTCACCTCATAGTTCTCCTTTAACTATTAACAAACATTATGTATGTATCACTCAGCTGCAGATCCTCAAATCATCTCTGAATTTAAACTGACACTGTCCTTCCTTCTGGAGGGTGGCTACTTTTGTTCCCCATGGACCCTGTATGTGTTATGAAGTAGCCACCACTCCAAGCTCGCACCCATGATGGACTGCAATCTCAATTCAAATGACTAAACTAAACCTGAGCTTGTGGTCCATCATGGGAGTGAGCTTGGAGCAGTGGCTACTTTACAACACAAACACGGACCATGGGGAACAAACGAAGCCACCCTCCAGACAGAAGGACAGTGTCAGCACCAATTCAGAGAGGATTTAAGGATCTGCAGATGAGTGATACATACATAAGGTACATGTTTGTTAATATTTAAGGTACTTGAATGCATTTTTTTAAAGGTTTAACTCCTGAGTTTATTGTCATTTCAAAGTGACCCGTTCCTTTGCATGTGCAGATCAAGGTAAAAGGGCACACTTAACTCCCATACAGCATATACTCACCTTTCCTCTCCCCATACTGCCCCACTCAATTGTCAAGACCAAGAAAAAGTCTTCTGTAAACTCCAAACTGACTTGGCATAGCCAATAATAGGCTATGGAATCCTACTGTCCCCAGGTGATGCCACTGGGCCAATCACAAGGCACAAGCGCTTTCACATGAGAGGGAGTGAGTTACATGTTCACATAAACCTGGAGGTGCTGAGCATATCACCGCCTTCTTTGTGGCTGAACGGAGCAGTGTGGGTGCAAAATAAGGGTAGGAATATGCTAATGTTGTGTGAGGCAGTTAGGGGAAAAGTAACAGGTCACTGTAATGGGTTTTAAAAAAATGAATACTTTTTGTGCAGTAAAAAACACTCAAATCACTATACAACATATTGGAATGCCATCAAAAGATACTTACCTTCCTATATCTTGATAAGGGGGTGACTAGAACTAGGGTTTACTTTCTATTCTTTTACATCAGTAATGACCAACAACAATAGTTTCAGCATTCGATAAAAATTGTGCTTACAATAAATAAGTGCTTTACCTCATTCTCTGGAGTAGGAGATGATGTGACAGAGCTAAGAGACCCCTTCCGTGACCCAGGAAGCTCTGTTGGTGCAGAAACAGGGCGCTCCCACTGGGTGGCTCCAGTTGGAATGTGCCAGTAATAAATTCCAGCAATATCATTGATTTTTTTCCAGCCTGGCGGCAGATCAGAATCTGTTTGAAATGGATGGTCGCTCCATATATCAGCTGAAAGATAGCAAAACAACTTACTTAGAAATCGGAATAGTAAAAGATATAAAAAGTAAAGAAAATAAATGTTTTTGTGTTTTTCCATGTATTAAGCATGGCATATATGTTTGCATATACACTATATTGCCAAAAGTATTGGGATGCCTGCCTTTACATGCACATGACCTTTAATGGCATCCCAGTCTTAGTCCGTAGGGCTCAATATTGAGTTGGCCCACCCTTTGCAGCTATACCAGCTTCAACTCTTCTGGGAAGGCGTCCACAAGGTTTAGGAGTGTGTCTATGGGAATGTTTGACCATTCTTCCAGAAGCGCATTTGTGAGGTCAGGCAGTGATGTTGGACGAGAAGGCCTGGCTCACACTCTCCGCTCTAATTCATGTTGGAACAGGAAGGGGCCATCCCCAAACTGTTCACACAAAGTTGGGAGCATGAAATTGTCCAAAATGTCTTGGTATGCTGATGCTTTAAGGGTTCCCTTCACTGGACCTAAGGGGCCAAGCCCAACCACTGAAAAATAACCCCACACCAATAACCCCCTCCACCAAACTTTACACTTGGCACAATGCAGTCAGGCAAGTACCGTTCTCCTGGCAACCGCCCAACCCAGACACGTCCATCAGATTGCCAGACAGAGAAGTGTGATTAGTCACTCCAGAGAACACGTCTCCACTTCTAGAGTCCAGTGGTGGCGTGCTTTACACCACTGCATCCGACGCTTTGCATTACACTTGGTGATGCAAGGCTTGGATGCAGCTGCTCGGCCATGGAAACCCATTCCATGAAGCGCTCTACACACTGTTGTTGTGCCAATCTAAAGGCCACATGAAGTTTGGAGGTTTGTAGCTCACCATAAAAAAGTATATGGTGGGCTCTGCAGGGTCACCCTCAGGTGGGCTGTGTGGGATTTCAAGTGGGCTCTGCAAAGGGTATAACAGTTGGCGCACTGTGCGCTTCAGCATGCGATGACCCCCGCTCTGTCATTTTACGTGGCCTACCACTTTGTGCCTTAGTTGCTGTTGTTTCCAGTTGCTTCCACTTTGTTATAACACCACAAACAGTTGACCATGGAATATTTAGTAGCAAGGACATTTCACGTATGGACTTATTGCACAGGTGGCAACCTATCACGGTACCATGCTTGAATTCACTGAGCTTCTGAGAGCGATCCATTCTTTCACAAATGCTGAGCCTGACTAAATGTAATATTAGTGGATGCAGTTTCAAATCCCAACACTCTACTGTATACCAAATGGTAGCAGACAGCTAATACTGGAGTCCACAGAGGTAATACACCTCCTGAACAAAATGTATGGAAAATGTCATAGCCTACCACCATTAGATTAGAAGACCCTTCACTATTTGTCTTACAATGCAAGTTATCTGATACTGCTGCTTGTAGGGTTGGAGGGAAATGGGAGTAAAATATTTCATTCTTGAGGTTCTAAACTAGATCATCAAAAAACTTTACCACTGTTTTAAATTCTGTCCACTAGAAGTTACTGTTCAATGTAGTCAGTTTTCAGCGAACATGACTTGGGTACTAGTTGCAACCTACATGTTCTTCCATATGTTTTAGGGGTTGTCCAGGCAAAGGAAATATGGTCCTTATTTGGTAGTCTTGTCCTAATGCACTTGGATTGGAATCTTTAACATTATCATTTATTTTAATGATTATTTTTGTAAGGAACAATGGGAACTCTTTATAAACTTATTATTGCTGCTTCTCGTGACAAAATGACACATATATCCTATATCTTTGTAGCTACTAAACAAACCATAGAACATGCCTAATAATCCCTATTGCCCAACTTTCTTGAAGTCAGTAATTTGTTAAATGGCAGATTAGTGAGTGAAAAATTAACCATAATCCTAATGATACAATATAGTAGTGATACAATACTTGGTCATATTTATAATAGATTCCTGAAGCCATGGCTATAAACTATTTAAATTAATCGCAAACAATGAATGTAAAAAACAAAGGATACCGTTTTGAGATTGCACAGATCTTTTAAAACTTGCAACACACATAAAATATTAATTACATAAATGGATCACTTGCAGCAATCTTATCCTAAAGAATTTCTAAAGTCACAGCATAGGACAGTAATGGCGAACCTATTGCACGTGGGGCCCTCTCTGCTGGCACGCGAGCCTAGGTTCAGAGACCACCTCTGATAATAGATTCAACCGTCCCAGATCGCCTCGAGTATGTGATTCGGGCCGGTCACAATCAGGCAGCGGCAGCCTCTAAACAGGCATATTAGACTGCTGCCTTCTCACATGGACCCCGAGAGGCCCCAGGGAGCGGCCATCTATAATTCCTGTTTAGAGGCCGCAGCTGCCTGATTGTGACCTGCCAGGATCGCGTGTCGAGGTGATCTGGGACGGTCAGATCTATTGCCTCCCCTAAGAGATGAACAGCCCCCCTAAGAGCCGCACAGCCCCCGAGAGCTGTACAGACCCTCAAGAGCCGAACAGCCCACCAAAGATACACACAGCCCCCCCAAGAGCCGCACAGCCCCCTGAGAGCTGTACAGACCCCCTAAGAGCCGCACAGCCCACCTAAGAGCCACACAGCCCCCCGGATAGCCGCACAGCCCCCTAAGAGTTGCAAAGCCCCCCTAAAATAGAGACTTTGTCAAATTGCCCTTAGTTGCCAAAGTAACAGACCATCTTTAAACTGCATGATTTTTTTTTCATTTAGTTTTTCTGCATTGAGTATAGCAGATTAAATCAATTGTATCAGTTGTGATTAAAAAACACAGGGGGGAATTTATCAAGACTGGAGCAGACAAAATATAAAACAGATTTGCACTGCAGCCGATCAGCTTCTCTCTCTCATTTTAAAATCTTGCCTGAGCAAACTGAAGTGAGATGCTGATTGGTTGTAATGGGCAACTGCTCCAGATTCTGTTTGCTCCAGTTTTGATAAATCCCCCACACAGTGTCACAGATCAGCTGCAGAGATGCAGCTGAGCTGTCACTTCTAGTTTCCCATGTGCAGACCTCTTACTCCTGGTTCTACAGGCGTCCAGGGCTATGCTGTTGCTTGTAGTCCTCCAGCAATGTTCTCTGTACCTAACTTGCTCTTGCACTAGTCTGTCAGCTTTAGGCTTCGGCTTACCTATCCTGCTAATTCTTATGCAGCTTCTCAGCCAATCAGCGTGGTCAGCTTGTGGCCAATCCTGTGGTTCCTCCGTCTTGCCTACTCTATTTAAATCCTGTGCAGAGCACAGTGCGCTGCCTGAGCAACGCTTTCATTAGCTAGATGCCGAGCCCCCTTTTTTCCTGTTGTAACTGTATTGCTTGAAGTTTACCCGTGTACATACCTTGGCTTATTCCTGGAAATCCCAGCCTTCTGTCCGTCCTGACCCTTTGGATTGTCCCTGGAAATCCCAGTCTTCAGTCTGTCTCTGACCTTTGATTTGTCTGTCGTATGTATGTCTGCAACCTGTCTGGAACTCTGGCCTTGTCAACCATTTGTAGCTGTTAGCTGAGTTGGGGGAACCTGAGGATCATGACTTGGGGTCAGCACGCAGCAAAATTCATCTTTACCTCAGGAGCTCTGGTGAACACCAGCTAGCTCTTAGATTCCACACCCTGGGGGACCCCATGCTACCTACTCAGCATTGCAGCATTCTGCCTGGTATTTGAACTTCCAACTAAACCTCACTCCCACTGGCCTCATTCAACTCCTGTCCCTGCTAGAACTCCAGCTCTGGGAGTTGTCAGCTTACACTGCTTACACCCTTTGATCTAGGTGTCCCTGCAAGTGCAGCAAGGGTCCACATCCTTAATTCCGGGTCTCACATCTAAGTCTGGTTCATGACACACAGAAGGCAAACATTAAAAACAAAACATACTTGTATTGTGTGTCCCAATGTTCATCAATGACCAGTGGCGTAACAATCACCATAGCGACCCAGGCGGCCGCTATGGGGCCCGGGGCACAGTGGGGCCCGGCCAGATGCCGAGCGGACCGCCTGGGTCGCTATGGTATCCTCTGCTGGTGGCTTTCACTGGCGGCTCTGAAGAAGAATGCTCTGCTGTTCAGATCAGTAATCTGTGCAGCAGCGCGTTCGTCAGCACAGACGCTGCTGAGTCAATGAGAGGCAGCAGCGGCGGTGGAGGAGGCTGGACGTGGCGGGGAGGAGGACAGGGTCACCCTCAGGTGGGCTGTGTAGGATCTCAAGTGGGCTCTGCAAAGGGTATAACTAGAAATCACAGGGCCCCATACAAAATTTTGCTAAGGGGCCCTGTGATTTCTAGTTACGCCCCTGTCAATGACCCTAGTAATAGAAAAAGTACAATGCTTAGAGGATAGGGAAAAATCCTATTCTCTTCCTCACACCCACAGCTACCATAAAGAGGCTATCACACAAAATGTGTCCCCATTACTAAAACCTGCTAAGTGTTTCACAACTTATAATGAAGTGCCCATTAATCTTGTAAACAAACTATTTCAGATCGAATATGACTCCAGTAGCCACCCATTTAGGTGCAGAGAAAACTTGGAAAAACGATCTTTAAGCAAAACCTTTCATATACAAG